TGAATCATTGATCCACCGATGTTCTGTGCAGCGATTCCTGTTGGGGCTAATAGTAAATAGTTTTGGTTGATTCTTTGAAAATCTTCCAGTAATAGGTGTATCATGTAGGATTTCCTGGTGTCTGCTGAACCTGTAATGAAGAAATAGGGATAATGTACTGTAATTCATCTTGTGGGCCCAGGTAATTGTTTATTGTTTGTCGGCAGTAGTATTGGCTTGGCGGTAGATTTACAATTGAGTTAATGGTTACAATTTGTGGTAATACTTTTATGGAATCTAATTGAATTTTTATTATGTCGAGGATGTTTGTTGTTAGTATCGGGTTTAGTGACGAGGTTATTGTTTCGATGAGAGTGTTGAATTGATTTAAGGCATGTGTTGTTTGTCTCAGTGTGAATTCATGATTTTTTTTGCGGATGGTCTGATAAGTATCTGGAAAGCGGGCCAGAAAATGATCACGGTAATCTTGGTAACCACCTAACATCTCATTCTCAGATCTGTACGGAAGTTTTAGCAGAAGTTGTTGATAAAAAAACGGCTCACCGTGTTCTAATCGTAAAGACCGCATGCATGTGAGTATTCGATTAGTGCGTTTAATAACGAAATTTCTAAGGTCATCTTGGTATATTGTTCTGTTCGATGTGTTTGGTCTGGTTGATCTTATTTCATATGTTTCAAAGTAAGTTCTATATGTTATGTTATCAAAGATGGGATCGTGTGATCGTGCGAAATATTTTTCTATTTTATTGTTACAGTAGGGGTCATCTTCTAGTGAATCGAGCATATATAGTGGGATAACTGCTTTAGATCGAATCGATAGAGGATCCGTAGTTAGGTATTGGACTTGTATTGATGAGTTTACAATATGTTTACCAAGTAGTAAAAACATCAGTTCCATTGAGCCCATTCATCAAGCATGGATATATTCGTGATAGTGTGCTTGTTCTCATATGTTGAATAAATGCGTAGGTTCAGATTTATTTATATATTTTGTTATGTATCTAGCGAGTCTTTTGTTGGTAACATATTAGATTTTATATGAGCATTCCATATCATCAGCGTGGGTGTATGATATGGAACTATCCATTGATCTTCCGGATTCCTCATGAATAAATGCAGATAAACTGTAATTACATTGTTTGACAAAAAAAATACATTCGACTACTGTTATAATATTATCAATAAATACTATCAAACACTTTTAACTTGAATATGTCATTCCACGTATATAATATTCTTTTTTTTTTTTTTAATGTTAAGGTGACCACTTTGGGGTCTGGCACATTTTATTAAACTTTGGATCGAATACCAAGGCAGCCACAGGGCTACCCCTGACTTTGTTACATTAATGAGGATACATACTAGCCATATGTACAACTTTTGGTTGTCTATTTAAGCAGTCTTGCATATGTAACCCATATGAACTA